AAATAAGTTTTGGATATTCCTCTTTTGTGGACACTAGCTTCTTAAATCCCAGCATTAGTATACCATATGCCATGTGCCCGTTGTCGCACATAGAATAAAGCAGGTGGAATAAAGGGTAGTCAGAATTTCAGAGATGCTGGTTCCTGGTGTCGGTTTGTAACTAGAAATGGCACCAGTATTAGATTTTGTTTTGGCATTAAATTTATGTTTTCTTTGGCCTGCCAGAGCGGTGGTATATCAATATACAGTATTTGTATTTGGAAAGGAAAAGTGTTTGTATAAATGTACAGAGGTGTAGTGCAATTTGCAAGTGATAGACTAGGCAGTATCGCTTGGGATGGAAGTGTCAGTAGTAGATTCAGGAAGCCTCGAGTAAACCTCCCGAATAACCGGGCGCTCCTTGCTCGGATCCTGGAGCGACTCGCTGATGCTCGGAGTAGCCGACCGGTAGATATTCATCATACTGGCATGGGACTTTGCAATTTCGTCAATGAATTTGTATCCGGCCTCACCAAGCTCAGCAAAGTCCACTCCGTGGTCCTCCTGCTCCGGGTCAACACGGAAGCGGAACATCGGGATCCAGTTCATGACGGTCAAAATGATATACGACAGCACAAACGACCAGGCAGCAGATACGGCCAAGGCTGCCAGCTGAATATATAGCTGCTTCCCGTGTCCGTTGATCAGGCCGCCTGATGACTCCGTGCCGTCAAGCCCAATAACCTTGCTGTTGGCGAACACGCCGGTGAGGAACACGCCAAGGATGCCACCGATTCCGTGCACGGCAAACACGTCGATGCAGTCGTCAATGCCGAGACGCAGGTTAAAGTCAATCATGAAGAAGCAGCAAACGCCGACAATCGCGCCCATGGGGAAAGCGGCCCAGGTGCTGACGAGGCTGGCAGCAGGTGTCACACCGACCATGCCGGCGACAGCGCCGGAGCAGAAATGGAAGCTCGAGAACTTGTGTTCGCGATGGTAAGCCAGGGCGACCCAGACACAGCCCGCGACAGCACCAGCCAGGATCGTAGTCAAAAAGGCGATTCCGGCCTTGCCTGATGCCAGGGAAGCAGCACCGGCATTGAACCCAAACCAACCAAAGAACAGGAAGGCAGTGCCGAGGATGATGTTGAGGTAGTTGTGTGGCTCCCACTTTTCCTCGCCAAAGCCCTTGCGTTTGCCGAGAACAAAGTAGAACGCCAGAGCAGCAAAGCCTGAGGCGGTCTCGACAGCACAGCCGCCGGCAAAATCCAAGACGCCAAACTTGAACAGCCAGCCGTTGGGCGCCCACACCCAGTAAGCGATCGGGTCGTAGACCAGCGTTGTCCACACAAACACGTAAAAGATGGTGGGCAGGATCCGGATACGCTCAGCGGCTCCACCGATGGCCAGGCCGGGGGCAAGGGCGGCGAACATACATTGGTATATGGCAAAGACAATGCCGGGGACGGTCGGCGCATTGGGGTGGGGCTCGTAGCTGACGTCCAGGAAGAAATAGTGCCGCATATTGCCGATGAAACGGCTGGGTGAGGTCTCAGAGAGGGCCAGCGAGTAGCCAAACATCACCCACTGGATGGTTACTACTGCCAGCGACACCATACAGAGGAACACCAGGGAGAGGGCATTTTTGCTACGGACCATCCCGCTGTAAAAGTAGCCAAGGCCAGGGATCATCAGGAACACTAGAGCAGTCGATGCCATCATCCAGACCGTAGCACCCATGTCAATATCGCTGGTACTAGTCATGGCTCAAAGGCTGGAAATGTGATGTACAGGAAGCACACGAAGAGAGCGAAATCAAACGAGAAATAAAATGAAAAAAGTACAAGGCGGCGCTCCTTCGAAGGAAAAGTCAAGAAGGTCTCGAGTGAGTAAGGCACTGCGTGTGGAAGAGTCTAGGGTTATCTGGTTCGTCTCTGAAACATGGAGGGGGTGGCCACGGTGGCGCATTTATACGAAATGTGCTCAGGTGGATAGTAATATTAGGACGTTGGTCACAAAATCCTCGACGTATACAGGCCGAGCTGTGCGGCCCACGTAGGAGACTTGCGGAACTCTTCACAGGCCAATTGCGCCAACTGATCAGACGCGATAAAAGAGAAATGACGCCCATCTCTGCTCATCAGCATTCATCTGCTGGTCGCTGATTGGCCGGTGCGAGGCCGTCGGGTTCGCCCCTGGGCCTTGCATGTGCTGGACAGGCGAGAGGGGCGATTAATTTTTCAAACGGGCTTGTGACCGCTTTTTTCGCCTGGCAACAAAACCACGCTTTTCAGCGGGAGCAAACGGGCGGAGGGGCGCTTAGACCGCCCGGTTTCGCGCTGAGGGGTGGCTCTAGCGTATCTGCGCACGGAGGCAGTTTTCAGTGTGCTGTGCCCTGCGGCTAACACGATGGCCTGAGCCAAGGTGCACTGACTTTCTCGCAGGTACCAAAAGCGCCATTTCCTGCCACCAGCGATTAGAAAACGATAGTCAGCCGCGTTTGTAAGCTTCTGTCGAGAAAATCCATATGGCCCCTGGCGAGCGGTTGGGTTCTGCTGGGCTCGCTGATGGTGCCTGATACCCAGAAGCCCGACAGAGTGGCCCTTATCGATCATGCGAGCTCGGGACATTTGACAGAAAAATGCGCCTTAGCCATCAGCGGCGATCGCTGTCCTTGGAGCTCTGCCTGTTTCCCTGGGTGCGCGAAAGGAAGCTGTGTCAGCAGGCCCGATACGGGCTGTTCTCTCTTTGGCCTGGCTTGAGCAATGCCTCCGAGCACTCAAGCACAGAGGACCTGCCAGGGCAAGCAGAAATGGCAGGTCGTTCGACCAGATTTTTCAAAGGGCGCCGAATTTCCAGCACGCGCCCATTTTCTGGCAGATAGCTGCGATAAGCGCTGCGTGGAGAGTCACCGCCCCCTGAGCTGCAAGCCGCTATCAGGAGCCGATCAGCCACGTCGGTTTCTTTATCGCCCCCGATCAGCCAGCGCTTTAGGCGCTATCTCTTTGCTTTCTGAATTCCACTTTTTCTTCTGGGAAATTCCAAGGGCAGACGCGTCACGAGCCATATTCTCGAATAATACCATGCATCTCACTCGGGCCAGTCGCTGTGCGGTGTTGGCAATGCTGCGCGCGGGACGGGTCCAGCCAGCACTTCCCGCATGCGCCATGCTGGGCGGTCAGAAGCGGTTTGCGGGACACAGCAAATGGTCAAAGATCAAGCACTCAAAGGGCGCGGCGGATGTCAAAAAGGGCACCCTGTTTGCGAATCTGTCCAAGGATATTACCGCCGCGGCAAAAGGTAGGAATTAGAAACTAGCGCTGTATGCAGTATGCAGCACATCGCTAAATCCCGGGACACAGTGTAGAGGGCGGCTCCGACCCGGCGTTTAACCTGCGCTTGGCAGCAACGATGAAGCACGCCAAAAACGTCGACATGCCAAAGGACACGATCGAGCGCGCAATCAAGCGGGCCACGTCCAAGGAGTACTCATCCGCCGAGGCCATCGTGTACGAGGGACTCGGGCCGCACGGCACTGCGCTGGTTATTGAGTGTCTCACGGACAACAAGAATCGGACCGTCAAGGCGATCAGAAACAAGTTCAATAAGAATGGCGGAGCCATGGCGCCCGTCAGCTACATGTTCGACAGGAAGGGGCTGATCTGGTTCTCGAATGGCGAGGCAGAGGATTCGCTGGACGAGATGTTTGACAAGGCTATCGAGGCCGGTGCAGAGGATATCGAGGACCTCGGCGATGGCAAGGTCGAGGTTGTTTGCGAGTTCAGCGAGCTGCAGACGGTATCTAAGGCGCTGACAGGCGACCACAAGTACGCAGTGGAGCGCATGGAGGGCACGTACATCCCAAAACACAACGGTCGATCTCAGCGAGGAGCAGACAGCGGAGGTTGAATCGGCCATCGAGGATCTCGAGAGCTTAGACGATGTAATCAAGGTTCACTGCAACGCTTCATAGAGTTAAGTTTATTTACAAGCACATGCAGAAACAGCTACAGAAGCACTAGGGCCGCGTCGCCAACTTTACCTAAACTCAAACAGCATGGTCAGTAGATATGGTCCGTTGGTCGAAGGATATAAAAAGCTGCAACAGTTGCATATTGGATTCAGTTATTTTGGCAATATAGGTTCATCTCCAGAGCAGCCAGTCCTCGTAAGGCCGGCGCTGCAGAACAGGTCTATTGTGATCATCACTATCAAGCAAACAGCACAGGGCAGGAACTACGTGGAGATGCATACCTCTTACCAAGTAGTTGATTATTTATAGAGCTATCGGACAAAGAGAGGAGAGACAAGGAAGCCTGATCGTTTGCGTCCGGCCAGCGTCGGCTTTTAAACTGCAAACATTTTATATCTGTTAATCTAGCCCATGCAATCAATCAGTGGGGATCGGTCGATCACCGCGCTGCGGTCCGAACCGCGCTGTCACGGTTCTGCAAGCGATTTATTGTCGTTAGAACGCAAATGGTACGGCTGCCAGATGCCTACGGCTCCCGATACCACTGCTTTGCAGGACCCGCCGGGTCGAGTGGCGCGGTGCAGTGCGCTGGCGCGGGCGACGCAGCGGCATGCCAAGTATGTGTATCTGGGCGTTTTCATCCTTGCTTATCACGCCCAGCGGCGTATTGGCAACAGGCACCCGCCACCCGTGCTCGAGCGCGCGGATGTGGATGTTCTGGAGCGGCGTGCGGCGCTTTGGCTTCTTTGTGATCAACAGCTGCGAGTGCGGCCGGGCCAGTTTGTGTGGTGTGATGTGCATAGCGCCCGTAGCAGCGGCCGAGTATACATGTGTATCCATTAGCGTGAAAGGTACTGGCGATGAAGAGTGAACAAGAAATTATCGAGATTGTCTTTATTTTCACGAGAGCCTGCTACTGCTGTATTTCTTCTTTGTTGACCACGGGGGCGATAGGCGGGGGGGGGCAGTGAGCAACGGCAGGCGTCTCTGAAATACTACCGAGACACCAGGGAAACAAAATAAATTCTGTGGAGCCGGGCGGAAGAGGGAGAGCTCTTTGTTGTCGATAGCTACAAGCGCATGTATCTCCCAGCTACGGCACCTCATGAATAGAGGCTTCTTTCTCATAGCAAGGCGCATCTCGTGATTTCTCTTGGGCATACATGCAGGTCCTGGCTAGCATTCATTGCTGCACCTAGACCTGCCCATGACGGAACTGACAGCATACGTCCTTGGTGGAAAGTGGGGAGAGAATCGCTTTGGAGCGACTGATTGACACCACAGCTCGCAGAACAACCCAACAGCTCACCGCGAGCTGCAGGACATGACGCGTGTCAGACGCGCTCCGTTCGACTTATGTAAGCTGGGCCAGCTACATACGGCACAGATGCTCTGGCACCGCTGATATGGCGCCAGAACTGCTCTACAAGCGGTGCTGGTACTAACTAGCAAAAACAGATGAGGGGGGCGGACCAAAATAGATTCAACGAAATGCATCGTGGATCGACAGGCTATGTCAACCAGGAAGATTCGCGACCTTTTCGCGGTTCTTCGCATGAGGACATTCCGGCTACGTATGTCGTATGTGCAGGGAACACCTATTCGCATATCTGGGCCAGCAGCAGCCGGGCAGTGGCGAGTCTGCGCAGCATGGAAATTCACGGGAAAATGACACCTGGAGATCTGCAAGCTCAGATCCATGCAGCCAGGTATCAGGTCGGGCTGCGAGATCTTGGAATCAGATCACATTGTCATGCACGTGATTCGACCTTGTCTGGGAGCAAAAGTGCTGCCACCAGCTGTTTCTCAAGCCCTTTTCTCATTTTGGTGCATTTTCTATTACTTTCTTAATCACATCGCTGGAAGACAGTTTGGCAAAAATGAAGATAGTGCCTACGAGGATAGGCGTTCCCTTTCTCAGCCGCAGGCGGGACAATCAGCAGGAGGCAGCAGCACGAGAAGGAATTCGCAAAACAGCGAGCAACACCAGCGACCCGACAATAGCGACCGACTCTGACACGCCAACAGTGGCACCAAAATCCAGCAGGCCTCTTTGGTACCCTGCCCCGCGACATGTTCCGTAAGCCTGCAGCCAGCCAGCCCACACAGCCAACCACAGCCAGCTCCACGCAGACCGTGACGCCTGCATTGGTGCAGGCGCGGAAGCCATGGCGCAAGCTTCTGTACATTAAGCAGGACTATGCCGACGACTATGTCGATGACACGTTCCTAATGGAACTGCAGAAGAACACAAACGTGCGCATGTACGACTACTCGACGGTGGTACAGCAGACAACGGTGGTGACGCAGCACCTGTCGAGCATCATGGTGTTTCTGGCGGTATTTATTAATCTCCGCCGCGGCAGCCTGACGGGCGAGGCGCTTGTCTGGGGCTCGACAACTTTGACGATGGTGGGGGTTTGGGTTCTGGGGCTTGCTGAACTACTCGCTGCGCACCCCTGAGCAGCGCGTGGAGCGGTGGAATCTGATAAAAGGCGCTGTGTTCTTCACTCTGCTTTTGTTTGGGCTCTCACCGATCCTGCGCACGCTGACTGAAGACACTAGCAACGACACGATTTGGGCCATGACGGTGATGCTGTTTTTCGGCAACCTGGCGTTCCATGACTACAGCACGGGGAACCTGACCAATATACGGTTTCCGGGTAGTGTGTCCCTGAACGCAGCAGTTCTGGCTGGCGTATTGCTTGCGTCGCGGCTTGATAGCAACATGTGTGTGTTTGCGTTCTTGTCGTTTGCTCTCGAGTGGTTTGCCCTGTTCCCAATCATGCGCCGGTACCTGAAGCGTATTTCGGCGAAGGCATCGATGATCATGACGCTGGTGCTGGCGCTATTGGCATGGGTATTGTTTCTGGACATCTCGCAGGCAGTCGCAATGATACATGTGCTTGGCACGCTGTTCATCACCTTTGGGTGTCCGCTGTGGCTGATCTGGATCCAGCGGTACAAGAACGAGATCCATGGGCCTTGGGACGAGGCCCGCCCAATCGTGCACCGGCTACTTCCGCTGACTCCTCTTGGCAGCAGCCATCCGGTTAAATCGTTCTATTTTTATGTAAAATATCAGCATGTCTTTGCAATTCTCTTGCTACTGATGCAGTTGTGCTATTCTTTTTATTAGCCGTGTCAACACCATGTAGTCATATGTACTGGTTAGAGTAGCGAGAGGAAATATTAAATACGCAGGGCGGTGCATACACTAGTAGGCCATACTCTCGCCTGCCAGCTCACGCTCCAGAGCGCGCGCATCCTGGTCGGCCATCTGCGACGTTCCATCCGCGCTCTGTCCATGCACCGCAGCCATACCAAGCTCACCATCGTCCTCATATCCAGCCTGGCCATAGTTCGCGTCGCGGAACTCGCGAGCAGCTGCAAATGCACCGGCGCCCTCGGGAATCGCGCTGGTGGCCATGTCGGCATCTTGCTCATAGTACTGCTGGATGTTGCCGTCGTCGGCGATCTCCTCGTCCTCATGGGCAGCCTGCTCTGCTGAGCGCTTGAAATCAATGACCTCGTCAATAATCATGCGCTTGACCTGGGGCATGGCCGTGACGGCCTCGAACGACATGTCGCAAGGGACAGGGCACGAGGGCTCATCCTCGACATTGTGGTAGGCGGCCAGATACGGGTGGGCCAGGATCTCCTCGACGGTGATGCGCGTGCTGGGGTCGAAATCCAGCAGACGCTCGAGCAGATCAAGCGCCAGCGGCGTGGCCTCGGGGAACAGGGTCGAGAACTGACCTTGGGCATATACGGGAGCGAGCGGATGTACATTTGCGCGCGGTCGCTGCCGATGCGGCTCAGGGTCTCGTCAGCGGGCGTGCCCAGAATATGCAGGATCTGGTTGAGCTGGTCGACATAGTCGCGGCCCTTGAACAGGGGCCTGCCGCCGAGCAACTCGGCAAAGATGCACCCGACGGACCAGATATCGATGGCCTTGGTGTACGACAGGAACGACAGCATGATCTCGGGGGCGCGGTACCAGCGCGTCGCGACATACTCGGTCATGAACCCAGCGTTGCCCTCGGGGGTCTCAGCCAGTCCGCGTGCCAAGCCAAAGTCGCAGATGCGCAGGGCACAGTTGGCATTCACCAGCAGGTTGCTGGGCTTCAGGTCGCGGTGCAGCACGCCTGCAGAGTGGATGTACTTTAGGCCACGGCAGAGCTGGAACAAAAATACTGAAAGTGCGGGTCCGACAGCGGCTGGCCAGATCTGATAATCAGCTGGAGGTCGGCCTCCATGAGCTCCTGGATCAGGTAGATCTCGTTGAACTCGGGCGTGTTGGCCACGTCGATGTCCAGCAGCGAGATGATGTTCTCGTGCCCGCTAAAGTGCCGCATCAGCTTGATCTCGCGCAGCGACCGCTTCGCCAGCACGTCCCGCTCGCCCACACGGGACACCTTCTTGATGGCCACGCGCTGGCCAGTCTCAATGTGTTCGGCCTCGCTAGGAGCAAAAGGCGTGTTAGCATTACGGCGCGGCACTATCTCCACAGCAGCAGTAGGCTCGTCTATTACTTACCAGACAAGACCGTAGCGCCCTGGCCGATATCACGGGTAACCCTGTACGCCCCGGCAAGCGACGGCGGCAAACGCATACGGCTCTGACTCATGGCGTGTGTTGGAAAAAATAATGGAGTGCGAGATGTGCTGAAATGGAAATACACAAATAGAGTACTGAAAAGAACAAACAACGAATTAGCTGGGCAGCAAGAAGCGAAGGGGAGGATGCTGCCGCTGGCGGCGGGCTCTAGGGCGTCATGCTTGCGGACCCTCCCTCTTTGAGCAGGTTTTTTTTAGCAGGGCATCGCACCAGCAGTGGTGTGGATTGGCACCGAGTGGCCGGCTTATTTTTAGCAAGCACCACGTTGTTTGCTGGTTGTTTACTTTTCTCTCCCTCACCTTTCCTCCGAATTCGCAACAATCCTACGTATTCTTCTTGTACCACGCTAGAATATACATCATGAGCATCACCGTCACGCTCTACCGCCAGCGGTTCTGGCTCATAGTGCTGCTGGGCGTTGTGACGCTGGGGCTTCTTTTTCCAGCTGCCGTCCAGCAGCGATGCCTTTGTGCCCGCCAGCCCCGTGCCGACGAGCCCCAGCCACCCCGTGCAGCCTGGCAAGCTTCTGGAGCAGCATTGACAACCTCGGGTTCTCCAACAACGAGGCCGAGTACTTTGTGCAGTACACTCTGCAAAGGCACCGGCTGGTGATGTTCAGCAAGACAACGTGTCCGGAGGCGCGCATGGCCAAGGCCGTGCTTGAAAAGTACCGCCAGCAGCACGGTCTCACCGACTACTTTGTGGTGGAGGTGGACTGCAGGAGGACCCGGAGGGTGTGAAGCAGGCGCTGACCACAATGCACGGGCGATCGACGTTCCCGAGCGTCTTTATTGACGGCGTGTCGGTGGGCGGCAACGACGACATCCAGCGGCTCGAAAAGCTGGAGAACCTGGGCCCAATGCTCAGCCACAAGGGTCTGCTGAGGGATTCGGTCGAGGACACGGCGTCAACCTTCCTGACCGAGACACTGAACAACAACACGGTGGTGGTGTTTACCACCAGGACTGCTGTCGATAAGGAGACGCTGGAGGTGTTTGCCGAGATGCAAAAGACGTACAACTTTACACTGGCCAGGGTCGCTATCGACGAGAAGCCGCACAACTTCTTTGCATGCGCCAGCGCCTATTCAAGATGTCGGGGAAGCAAAACTTTCCGCTGACGTACATGTTCAGGACTGCCTGGGGCGGGCAGCCCGGCGACATCCCGTACTTCAAGAAGCACGGCGATCTCGTGGAGACCTTCAAGTCGCACAATGTGCCGCTCCTGGGCGCCCCAGAGCCCGTGGAGGAGAAGAGGTCAAGCCAAACCCGGCGTAGCGGGATTCCCGGAGGCGACACAGCTGCAGGGCCGTGAGTTTGTTGACGCATACATCAAGAGGTTCGATGTAGCAGTTATCGGCAAGAACGCGATCGTGCATTCGCGGGCGCTCTGGGATCTGCTCCACCAGTTCCAGCTCAACTACGGCCTGGAGTTCAAGTGGCTCGACGTCGATCACCGCAATGACGAGGAGGAAATCAAGCAGGCGCTCAAGGACATTTCGGGACACGACAACTTCCCCATTATGTTCGTCAATGGCTCGCCCATTGGCGATAGCGACGAGGTGTACGCGAAGCATGTTGCCGGCGAGCTGCGCGACTACTTTGTTGTGTCGGGCTCATTGAGAAGGCAAAGGTCACGCAGCACGAGGAGGGAGTGAAGCTCCGCGTTAAGGACGAGGTCACCCGGACGCCGCTGATGGTGTATGTCCGGTCGTTTGATAGCGACAGCCTGAAGGTCAAGGCCATGTCGATGGATACAAGGAGCTGTACCAGCTGGAATACGGGTATGTCAAGGTCGAGGAGCAGGCGGACGCCGCCGAGTTCATGCTGGCGCTCAAGGACCTGTATGGCGCGACAACCTTGCCGGCCATCTTTGTAAACGGCAAGGAGGTCGGCGGGTTGGTCGGCTTGCGTGGCATGTACGACTCTGGAGCGCTGAAGGAGGAGCTGGTCAAGGGCAAGGCGATTGCACAGGACGAGTTTGACCAGGAGCAGGCGAATATGTCGAGCATAGCCAAGGAGATCGAAGAGGCAGAGAACGAGGAGAACCCGGACTGGACGCCCGAGAGAAGAAGGTCCACCAGCTGATCAAGCGCAACCGCGTCATGGTGTTCAGCAAAACGACATGTCCATACTCACGCAAAGCCAAGTGCTGCTGGGCAAGTACCGGGATCAGCACGGGCTGGTGTATGAGGTGCTGGAGGCTTTGGAGTCGGATATCACAGCAGTCAAGGCAGCGCTGCTCAGCGTTTCCGGCCGCAACACGTTCCCGAACATATTTGTCGATGGAAAGAGCATTGGCGGTAGCGATGAACTCTATGACCAGCATGCCAAGGGCGAGCTGGAGGAGCTGCTCCGGAGAAAGAGCCTTATCGTGTAACAATATATCGTCGAACGTGTGTTGCTACTACATGGTGTATAGAGCATGAGCTGGACCGATTGCTGTCCGGCTCGATCAATGAACCGGTCTTTTGATGAACATGAGAAATTTTTTCTGCTTGAACCTCGCTGCATCCTTGTCTCCTCTGCTCTCATTTTTTAGCTGGCGAATTCTCAATCGCAAGGGTAGGTTTCAATTGGTGCACAGTCACGTCCTTGGCTCGGTGATGATACTCCTTATACATTTGCACGTCAGTCAGACAGTGGGTGCGCTTCTGCGTGCTTGCTGAAGGTTGATAACCATACCGATTTTATTCCTGAGAGCACGCTGGAAACCCTGTGCCATGTGAATTCGAAACGCACATTTGCTCACAGTCCTCACGTCGTATCTCTGTAGTAAGCAAGGCAAGCGGCAGTATGCTGTATATAGTTCATTTGTGTCCTAATAAATAGCGTCTAAATATCGCGAATAACCGAGCGAACAAACTCCTGGATGTCGGGGGTGCGCGCAGCAGCGGCGGCCATGACCTCCTCGTGGTGCGGGAACACCTCCTGGACAACCTCCAGGGTCTCTCCGCGCAGCTCGGCCTCCACGGACGCGATGGTGTCGGGCTCCTTGCGATCCACGCACTTGTTTGTGACCAGCGACATGGCCAGCACCTCCATGCCGCAGTGCTTGGCGACAACGGCCTCGGGGACAGTGCTCATGCCGACGAGATCGGCGCCCAGGGTCTTCAGCGCGCGCAGCTCGGCGCGCGACTCGAAGCACGGGCCAAAGCACCACGCGTAGATGCCCTCGTGGACGCGGAACCCGCGCTCCTCCCTAAGCCGCTTGTTCTGCAGGAACGCCTTGGCAGCTGTGCGGCGCAGGCTGGGTGTGTAGAGATCCGAAATTGACGGGAAGCGGACGCCGAACTCGGGGATATTGGGGCCGATGAGCGCGTTCTGGCCTGCAATGCCGGCAGCGACAGGTGGTCGGAGATAAGGGCAATGTCGCCGACCTCATAGGCCGGGTTGACGCCGCCGGCGCATTGTCACCAGGAGGGTCTTGACGCCCAGCAGGTGGAAGACGCGCACGGGGAAGGTCGCCTGCTGCACCGAGTAGCCCTCGTAGCAGTGGAACCGGCCTGCATGCACACGACGGACTTGCCAGCCAGCGTGCCAAACACAAGCTGCCCCTTGTGGCCCTCGACAGTGCTCTTGACAAAGCCTGGGATGTCGTTGTACTGGATGGTGGTGACCGAGCCCTCAAGCGTGTCAGCCAGCGTGCCGAGACCGCTGCCACAGATGATGCCAATGGTGGGGGCAAAGTCGCCGATTTGCGACTTCAGATAGGTGGCCGAGGCCTGGTATGTCTCGTAGGGAATCTGCGACGCCATGGTAGTAGAAAAATAGAGCGAGGGACAAAAACAGCGAGAAGGTGTGTGGATAGGGAGAAGAGAAGGCTTTGTCTGACCGCCGCCTTGCTTTTCAGTGTCTAAGCGGTCGATGCCGCCCTGTTTGGAGTGGCCGGGGGTTTTCTCTTTTGTCACACTCCCCGCCTTGCTCGTCCGTGCATACACCCGTTGCAGCTGAAGAGGGGATTTGCCAGCGGGCATCACTCTGCTCGTGAGAGCGGGCGACCAGAAGCGAGCCAGGGAATTTAGTAGAAGAATAGGAAAAACTGTCACTCGGTGCGGGTGATGCTGAGCCGGCGCACCAGCTTGGCAGCGATCGACGAGCCGGTGCCACTCGACCAGCTGCTGTGCCGGCTGCCCGACGCACTGCTGCTGGCATTGCTCGACTGCCTGCTGCCTGGCGCCGCCGCTGCCGACAGGCCAAACCCGAACCCACGGAACGACCTCCGCCGCGACTTTGTCCGTGTAGGCGCTGTCTGATCCCCGGCGGCCTCCGCAAACGACACGACGCGAGTCGTTGCTCATAGCGATTTCGGCACCCAGATCGACAGACGGCGGCAGTGGCTCGCGGTACAAGGTGTCAAGATCATTCAGAGCCGGCGCCTCGATCGGTGGCAACGACGGCATCGTTTCGGACTGCTCCCTGTGCCCATGCATGGCAGCGTGGAAGCGCCTCCATGCTGAAGCCAAGCCGCGCATCCACATACTCGTCTTCGCTCTCGTCCGAGTCTGCGTCGATATAGCCAAGTGAGCTCTGCACGTTCTGCCAAGTATCTGGTCGCTTCCTGCCTGTGGCGGGTTAGCAGACTGCTGGCGCGATTCGAATTGAGAGATCCGCGACTCGTACGTCAGTGGCGGTCGTGCTAGGACCATGGGCACATTGCTTCGCACAGGATCCTGACTGTGGGACGGATCAGGGACACTGGCTCGCCATCAGCCGGCTGCCATACAGTGTGTCCGATGGCCAGCTGAGCGCGCGGTTCAGGTCCTCCACGCATCCTGCAGTGCCGATACCGCATGGCAGTCGATGAGTTGTTGCGGATGTCAATGCACCGTAGTTTAATCGCTCGGTCTGCCTGCTGCTGGTGCAGCGAGCGGCATGGCTGCCAGGAATGCGCGGATGCTGTTGGTGTTCTCTTCGTCTGCTGCAGCTGCCTGGAATAAGCCCAGATCCCACGGCGTCCTTGTTGGGGCTGCAGCACTGCGGTCTTGCAGTGGCAGAGAGCCGCGGATCGGTTGCTCCTCAAGTAACAGGTCCTGCAGCGGCACTGCGGATGGCGGAAAGCTTGCAAGCTCACCAGGCCTCTGGACGTGATTTCGTTGTTGCTGAGATCAAGAATCTGCAGACTGGCGCTGCGGGCGGGCTTCCGTGCGCCGTCTGCCACGGCCCGCGCACTGCAGGACCGACTATGCTTGTATGTGGG